AGGCATTTTGAATTCATGGGGAATAATCAAATCTGGAATCAAGCTGAGCTCTCTTGCTTCTAATTCCTTGTGGTAGGCACTAACATCTTTCATGTTTCTGATTGCTTTCTCTGTTCTCTTGGCTTTTTCCTCATATTGTGAATAATTAATGAGGCTATTCTTTGAGTTTGAGTGGGATGCCCCAAGGTATGATATCTTTCTTGACTCTTCAATCTGATAGCATGATTTCTCTTTAGCAGTTATCTCTTCTTTATCTGATTCCATTCCCTGAATAATTTGATTTGATCCATCTGGTATTGAATCTGACGCTTCTTTCCTTGTATCCCGAGGTAACCCTGTCAATGGTTCTGGCCAATGGTCTTGTAGTCCCTCATAAGATTGCTCCATTGTTTTCATGATGATGGTACAGTAAAATAAATGAATGATCTTGGTTTTTACTGTTACAGAAACCTTTCATAAATTATTTATATGTTTTTATAATTAAAGTACATAACATTACTTAAATACAAATGTGAAAAATGCATAAATGAAAAAATAAGAATACAAAATGTGCAATTCAAATATATAAAAAGTAAAAATACAAAATGAAAATGCACAGATACAAAATGTAAATGCATGTATGAAAAGGTGTTACTTAAGAGTGATCATCTTAGAACAGATTTCATTGAACACAAAAGCTTCAGTACATCAAACAAAACTTTTACATGTAGGGGACAACTTTCAATCCTAACTTCAACAAAACTTTACATATAGGGAATAACTTTCCCATTTTCTTCTCTAAAACCAAGTTAGTTTATCAGTTTATGGGCCATATTGCTTGTCTGGACTGCAGCTTCTTCCATGATATTCTGGGGTTCTTTCATTTCCTATGTCACTTCTTGGAGTTGATCATTTTCCTTTGTGAGAGAACATTTGTGTTCAAAAAGTTTTTGGAGAAGATCTTCATGTATGTTGCAACTCTTTTTCAGTTTGGTGACCCCTGCTATCCACTCTTCTGGGGTGTTTCCTATACCAGCATTTTGAAAGGCTTGACTGACCTTCTGGAAGTCTTCATGTATGGTTTCCATTTTGGTGCTCAATTTATCGTTTTCAATCTTCAAATGACGTTTTTGAGCTTCAAACCACAGCAAATCTTCTTCTCTTTGGGCGCCCCTACTGATATTCTTATATTTGAAGACTTTTGGTATTAATCTATCAGGACCCTCGGTTACCAAACTAGGTCGATCATTTACCATAAATTGTAAGGTTCCATGATCTAAATGACTTTGGACTCGGCGTTTGAAGGCAAGACAATTCTCGATGGTATGTCCTTGAGCTCCGGCATGATATTCACAATGAACGTTGATGTCATACCAATTTGGGTACGGAGGTTGGAACGGTTTTATATAATATGGATCCACTTCTCGTGCTTCAAGTAGCTTTTCATATAACTCTTTATATGATATGGGGATAGTATCAAGATGAGAACCACCTTTTGTCTTGGATTGAACTTGAGTTTTAGACATCGGGAGCAGACCAAACTTTGATAATTTCATATTACATGATTTCTTCTCTTCTCTGGGAACTTGTACGGCCGTCACCATTTCTTTGGTATCTCCAGACGATTTGTGAATACGAATGATGACTGTCTGTAATTTCTCAAATTGGTTAAGAATTGAAGTCCCTTGCGTATCTGATACTGCAGAGTTAGGTTCATTGATCTCTCTCTCTTTCTGTGCAGGAATCTCTTCTCTTTTGGCCAAAGCAGATATTCTATCCATCATTTTGGACATCTGCTCTCTTATTTCTCGTATCTCCTTTTGCTTTTCAATGGGCATACAATCTTTGGGTACATAGCTCTTCTCTATCTTCAGAGTTCCCTCAGGATGTCTTTTCTTGGCCGCATCATATTTTGTTTGATCATAGAACTTTTTGTCCATTTATGACTTCTCTCTAATTTGATGAACAGTCTTTTCAGTTAACACCTTTTGGTCATGATCATGCAATGCAAACAAAAGAAAATAATTTAAACAAATTAGAGCAAAAATAACATACATGGGAAAATAAGAAAAAATAAAATGGTTAATACCAACTAATTGAAAGAAAAATTTATTTATCATGGTATATAATAAATCCTAACCTCATGCTTTTTAGTTCCATGCTTTGTTTGGAAAAATTAACCTAACCGCATGATTTCTAGTTCACATGCATTTATTCAGGGAGAAAAAATAATAATAAATTAAATAAATTAAAAGCTAAAGCTTATTTCTCCTTGGTGTACACCTATGAATAGAGGTTCAGTACTGTCTTAGATTAGGTGAATTTCTAGGGTTTATTATATGCAGAGTTTCAGTTCTAGGAGTAAAGGTACTCGAATTGTCCTTGTTGATGCCCCCTTGGGCTGTCAACCCTCAATCCTAGTCCATTACAGATTTAAACGGATCGAGTTCAATTCGAGGGGACACATTTCTCTATACCTGACACGGAGAATAAATTCTCACGAAGACATAGAGCATATGAACCCCGAAAGTTACTTGCTAGGTCTGACACAGAGAATAAATTCTCACGAAGACGTCGCTTTCACTCCCACTTAAAAGGAACAAACTCAATTATAGAGCTTTATGTTATGCAATGCAAGTGTTGTGTGTGAGGAGAAATATTCAAACCTCTAACAGATAAATAAAATAATTAATACCTGAATAAAAAAATATTAATATAAAAATAATAAATAATAAAAATTTGAAAGAAAAGAATTAAAAATTAAATAAATGAATTTTTAATTTCTAATTAATAGAGACAATTTATAATTGATTTTAAAGTTTGACAGTCCCCAGCGGAGTCGCCAAGCTGTCGTAACCGGTTTTCGTCCGGGCACGAAAATTTTAAATTTGGCGGGAAAATTTATGTGAATAAATAGTTTTGAAAATAAATTGGGAGTCGCCATCAGCCTTTTGGGTCAGGTAGGTCGAATACCTAAAAAATATCTTTAAAAGAGTTTTTAAGAAAACATCAATTAAAAGATAAACTGATCTGCGTTTTAACCAAAAATTTGTCTTTTTAATAATAAAAAGGGATTCGTTGTCGGTTACGTTTAGGGAAGGATTAGCACCCCTACAACGCCCAAAATTGGTACTTTTTAATTATAAATTGTCTCTATTATTAAAAATTCAAAATATATTTAATTTAAATTTATAGTATTTTAAAATTAAAATATATTTAAAAATATCGGAAAAGAACTTCTAGGTGCCTTAAGACAGCTCTTTTCTTCAAAAAATATATTAAAATTTTAATATTTTAAATAAAACTAAATTATAATTTTTATAATATTTAATTATTTAAAATACCAGAATAGGACATCCAGTTATATTAGGACTGCCCTTTTCTTTGATATCGAAAATAAATAAAAATTATTATTTAAAAAAAATATATATATTTATATGACTAAGATAATAATAATAATTAAAGCAATAATTAAAATATAAAAGTAATAACAAAATAATATTGTATTTAAATAATGATCAAAATAAAAGAAATTCAAAAATTATAAAACTAAATATAAAGTATTAAAAATAAAGGTAATAATTCTAAATATTATGAAAGATAATGATTAATAGTGTAATTTAACCTAATTAATTAATACGTGATTAAAATAATAATTAATAAACTATGAGGGACTAAATTTGATATTTTCCTAAATATATATAAATACAGTTAATGGTTAAAATATAATAAAATAAAATTTAAACACTAAATTAAAATGATTAAAAGTCAATTTCAGTGACTAAATTGCAAAGTTACAAAACTATAAGGGTTGCGGAAAGGGTTTACCCTTTCTTAAATTACACAGATACTCCTCCCCCTTAAACGACGTCGCATGGATGAGGGTTTATAAACCCTAAATGCCTGGCCCGAAGGGCCAAGCTTCTCATTTGCCTCATTTCTTTCTCTCTCAAAACGAGAGAACCAGAGTTCTCTCTGGTTTCTCTCTAGTTTCCCTCGCCGGAGGGAAACCGGCAGCCATAGGCCACCGTACTCCGCCGCCGGCCACCGCCGCCGGCCACCGTAACGGTGGTCGGAATTCACCAAAAACACCCCCAAAGCGTAGATCTAAACGCCCTAAGACCGATTCCGGTCTTTGTTTTCCCTAAAAGACTCCTAATCGGAGTAAATCTACGAAAATACCTTCGGTATTTTCTGTTCTCCGGCGATGTTCAGTGCTTCCGACGGTGGTCAAGGCTCCAAGGGTAAGTTTCTTTCTTCTTTCTTTTCTGTTTTGGTTTTATGTTGTTCTCTGCTGTGTGTGGTTGTCCCTTCTCTTTCTTGCAGGTGGGGGTGGCTTTTATAGCCACCACCGAGGCTCTCGTTGGACCGGTTCCAGAGATGAGTTCTGGTGAGTCACCAAACTATGTGGTGACTCACCCCATAGCTGCGACGTGGACGGCCGGCGTGGTGTTTCTGGAGTCTTCGAAGAGGCGATGGTGTCGTGGCTACAGCGGGGTGGAACACCTGAAGGCGGCAGCTAGGGTTTGAAAACCCTAGGGTTTGCAATCTGGAACCCTTTTGGGCCGTTGGATCTTGCCAGATCCAACGGCTGATGATTCTGACGGCGGCTGGCCTTCTGGGATCTTGGAAACAGCTGGGGGCTAGGGTTTGAAAACCCTAGATGAAACCCTAAATCAGTTTAGGGTTTCCATTTGGGGTATGGGTCGGTTCTGGTTGGGCCTGGGATTTGGGCTTGTAAAATGGGCTTCCAGTTTTGTAATTATTTATTAAATAATAATATATAATATTAATAATAATAAATAATAATAATAATAATAATTATAATAATAATAATAATAATAATAATAATTTTAATAATAATAACTTTAAATAAATAAAAAAATTGATGTCTACAGATATTATTTAGTTATTTTTTCCTCTCATATTCTTTTAATAATTACTTTCCCATTTGCATCTCTAGGAAAATGGATTGATACATGAAAACGATGACTATATACATTACAAGTTGAATAGCCTATCATTGACAGTCATCACCAGTTCAACCACAATCCATGGCTAAAGGAGCTTTGACGGTGGAAATTGTTGGTCGATACTGTGTGTCTCCACCGCCAAATACAGTCCCGCCGACCTCTCTTCCCTTAACATTTTTTGACATTCCATGGCTTTTTTTCTCCCCAACGCAGCCTCTCTTCTTCTTCGACTTCCCTTTCCCTTGTTCACACTTTCTATCCACCGCTCTTCAACCGCTCATCCACTCCCTTTCCCTCACTCTCCAACGATTTTTTCCTTTAGCCGCCTCCCTTATGTGCCCGCGCCCGTCTTCCACGCCCCTCATCGTTTACAAAAAACCCGACTTCGTCTCCTTGCTTGTCGCCCAATCCAACGCCGATTTCTTCCACTTGTCCTCCAACCATCAGCGATGTGTCAAAGAGTTTTACCCTCTGCTCCCTCCTTTGCCGAGCGAGGGGGAAGAGGGAATCCCATTGCTTGCCGCACAGGTCACCGTTTTCTCTAAAACTGGTATCTGTATTGGGTTTGCGTATCACAACGTGGTTGCGGATGGGAGGACTTTCAACAGCTTCATCAAGACATGGGCGTCACTTTTCAAACACCCTTCTTCTTCCTCATCTCCACTTCCCTTCTACGATAGAGGTGTGATAAAAGATTGTTACGGGCTGCAGTCCATATTCTTGAACCATTGGAGCAGCAGCAGAACATCTTCGGCTTCGCAACGCATGGTCATAGGCGTTTCAGACTCGGACTCGGTGTCAGCCATGGTTAGAGCCACTTTCCTTATGCGCCCTGCTGATATGGAGAAGATCAAACACTGGATTGTCGGTCGATGCAAGGCCAAAAACATGGTTCAACCTCCACGCTTATCACCCTATAATCTAACGGGCGCTTTTGTGTGGGTGTGTTTGATGAAGTCCCATGAGAAAGTTAACGGTAAGTTAACGGGTAAGAACCCGAGTTACTTCGGGTTCAATGCGGGTGGTTTAACCCGGTTGGGCTACTCGATCCCGACTACTTATTTCGGTAACTGCATCGGGTTTGCACGAACCATGGCAACTCAAAGTGAGCTTTGCGGGGAGGATGGGATAATCGTGGCAGCCAATGCTGTCGGAGGCAAAGTTAAGGATTTGGATGAAGCATTCTTGGACGGGGCGGAAAACTGGATATCGGATAGGGAGATGTTTTACGGATTAGGTTCGGAGCCCCATGTGATGGTTTCCGGGTCACCGAAACTGGATTTGTACGAGACTGATTTTGGTTGGGGAAGGGCAAGGAAAATAGAGGAAATCTCTATTGATAATGCCAAAGGCAATGCAGTTTCCTTCACCGAAAGCCGAGACGTGAAAGGCGGCATCGAGGTGGGACTAGCATTGCCTAAGGCCAAAATGGATGCTTTTGCGTCTTTCTTCTCCCAATTGCCTCACTAAACCCACTTCCCTTTCCCTTGTTCACACTAAACCCATCATTACAGACAGATCCTGTCCGTGTCTATCAGAAGAAAGTGTACTAATTATTGCTTTGTGTCGGTACATTATTTGTGGTCGTGTCTAAAAAAACACGTGGTATTTAATTGTATGGCTATCCTGTTTCATCATCAACATCAGTGGATTTTGAAAAAAAGTAAATTTGTTCTATTGATTTAGAGCAGTTATAGTATAAGGTATGGGGAGCTTGTATGTCATGAATTCCCAAAACACAATGTGTACACAATATTCGGCACATTACAAATACAGGATCTAAGCACTGCTGCTGCTGCTGTTGCTCCCCCTTCACTTTTCATCTCCATAATTCTGCCGGAGAGACGAGACGAGACCCGATATACAGCTCCAAGAGTCCCAATTGATCAAGGGAAGCATGCAGCATTTTTCACATCCATTATTCACATTAATCACCATTGCCTATTCCATTTCCATTCCTTTCCTTTCAACATGTGTTATATTTATCCATCCATCATTATAAGATAAGATTGCACTTTGTTTTGCATAGCCCCGCACACCCCCATGATTCCAAGCTTGGTTTCTATCATCAACGATCCTGCATTTGTATGGGGAAAATGATGTTTTACCGGCTCGAGACATACAATTACAAACATAAAGCTACCTCTTGTGTTCCCCACAAAGATTGATTGGCATATCATACACACCTTTTGATATGGAGATATATACTGCAATATTGGATCAAAACTCGAGAATTTGTGATTGTCAATCGAACGGTAACTGCATCAGAACGATGTTATCTACCTAAAACAATAACCAGACTAAAGGAGGAACTCAAGCTCTAGTAAATGTTGTGACCATTCACCTAATGTGCATAGTCACCAAGAATGACTGGCAACCTGGAAAATAACCTTCAATTTAGTAAGCAAGAATGGAAAGAGAGAACTACTAACAAATGAGAGAAGATATCGCTTTAGTTCCACTAGCAAAGTCCGCTAAAAGAAAAGCAATCCTACAAAATAGGAACAGAGAATACCTAATATTTTTAGTTAAGATGGTCTGCCCATCTTCTCCAGTATGACGTAACGCCGCTTCCTCCAACTGATCTCGATATGCATGCTACAAATACATAACATCACAATAAAAACGATATAACAACTAGAAGAGAACAATGACGATTTAGGGTGAAAATGGAACAGACAATCTTCAATCACATTTGGGTGACATATTGTAAACAAGGACATGCTAAAAGGAAAAATATGCCATTTTGAAGGCCACCATTTGAACCATATGACTTCATACAACCACTCATTTGATCGAAAGAAACATTTGACGTATGAACCGATTTGAGTTGCAGAATGAATAGACAGCCATTCACCTTGAAAAAACAACTATTCCCAAAAGGACAGTTCCCATTTCCAAAGTTGAAGTGCTTGCAATTTATTGATCTGCAAGGGTGAAGAAACAAAAGAACAAGAGATTTACTAGTTAGAAAAGCGAAATTTCCATACAAATCCTAAGTTCAGCATCTTCTCTTATGTTCTGTGGGCATTCAAGCCTGAAATCAGACAAAATGATTTATGCTCATCATAAAATAGAGTTTACAAATCATCCAAACGATCCATCAATTATATATATACATAATTTTGACAAGGTCATAATGCATGTGAGGAAATGTAAGAAGCATCGAGACTGCAGTGACATTGCCTCAATTTTGCGTTGTAGCCATCCACAATTCGCTGTTTTTCTTCTGGACTCCAATACCAAATGACACTTGGAATGACAAAATACGATAGCTTGCGACAGATTGGGCAAGCCCTCAAGGTAGTATTGACATCCATTCCAGAGGAAGGAGAACTGTTTCGCCAATTTCTAATACAAGTTATGCAGAATGGATGATCACATTCCGATAGAATTCCAAACTTACGCACAGCAGCCGTGGGCTTTGAGATAACACAATCAAGGCACACATTGCATTCTATTTCTTGACTAAGTTTCAATGCATCAAGGTATTTTTGCTTGTTCTTGCACATTTTTATATGTTCCTCCCTTTCTTCAGATCTAAAAGGATGCAAACAATGTTTTTCACAGGTAAGGCACCAGTCTCCATGAATGTGAGGACATTTTTCTCCACGGGGGCAATTACCAGCTGCAGCAACGAGCAGATAGGCCGCTGAACTGGATTACCGCTCCTAGGCTCAACAGTTTCACCGTTACAAGATAGATCCCGAGGCACAGATTCTGAATTCCCTTCTAGTTTGGAGGGAGCAACGAAAGCTCTACCGGAATCAGGAATCTTGGTAGAAGCAGCAGCTGAAGATACAACCAATCCAATAAATGTGGTTTTCGAAGGAAGTGAAGGTACAAAATCGGGTGCTGTTGACGAAGATGAAGCCGATGGACAGGATTGCGAGGCCTTGACATGTTCATATCTGCACCGGCTACCATAAAAGCAGTTTCCTTTCGAATAGTATATGCATATCTGCAATGACCAAGTACGAAATGATCATAAAGTAACCAAAAAGCATCAGCAATAAGTAAAATGCAAACAATAATTTAAGGGAAGGGAAAGTTCCTACATTATTCGGAGGATTGAGAAAACTCACAATGGTCCCCTTTGAGGCACGCTCCATGAGCAAAGAACTTGCAAAGAACCCTGAAATTCACAAGAAAATCGAATGCTATAAAACCAGGATTGATCCAGACATCATCCCCAAAAGAACGGGAACCAGGATTGGAATATTGGGGAGACAGCCAAATTAGGTAATTAAAACTCAAATGTGAACGAATCTAGCTAATCAAACATCTACTTTTGCGGTTACATTCATGAGATTTGGCTATGTTATCTCAGAAGATAAACATGAAGAATTGAAAATCAGGGGAATATAAAACAATTTAAAACATGATAATCAACAGATAAATAGAGAAATGGGAAGATTAAAGGATCACCTTTTAGGCATGGAGGATGGAGATTGATTCAGATAGTTAATGGCGTTAAAAACGATGTCGTTTTAAAAAAATAAAATTTTCACTAAAATGACGTCGTTTTACATTTATATAACAACTCATTTTAATGTCGTTAACTATTTAATGGTCGAGTGACCAAAACAACTCAATATATTGCTAATGTGATATGTCACGTAAAAATGATATTGCTCTAGTGTTGATGTTATGATATTTAAAATTACGTCATTTTAGACATTAAATTTTATGAATGTATCAATGTTGTCAATGAACTTTTAAACAATTTTTTTAGCATTGTACTTTAGGTCGTCACCGTAGGCAAATACCGCCCATCATTATTGATTATATTTCGCGGTAAATTTGGTATTATAACATTTGTATTTCATTTTTTTTCTTTCTCTTATGATTGATTCTTCACAAAACTCACTCAAAATCGATGAAAAATTATTTTAAATATCAACGTATTAATACTCTGATCTCTTTCAATGATCGCTCGACGAGACTAATTTTGAGGTATGCTATTCGTCTTCTAGAAATAATGTTTTTCATCATTCATGTTTTCAAACAAACACTGTAAATCTCATAAATCTAAGAAAGGCGAAAAATAGTTTTTTTATTTAATTTCATCGATTTTGAGTGAGTTTTATAAAAATCTAATTATATATGAGAAGAATGATGAGTGAAATGCGTGCATTTTGGTATTGATTTTGCCGTGAAAAAATATTTGTGATAGGTGGTTATTTGCTGTCGGTGGTGATTTTACTATTAATTTAATATAAAAATATATATTTTACTCTTATTTTTATTTTAAAAATATATAATATTTTAATATATTTTTAAAAGTTAAGATAATAATAAAATATATTTTTAATTTAAAATAAAAATAAAATATATTTTTAAGTAAAGATAAGAAAAAAAATATTATATATTTTTTAATTTAAAATAAGAGTAAAATATTTTATATTAAATTAATAATAAAAATTTAAATATATTTCAAGTTAAGATATTTAAAAAAAATATTTTTAAGTGATGATAAAGATAAAATATATAATTTTTACATTAAAATAAAAACAACATATATTTAATAAATTATGACAGAAATAAAAATATTTAATAAGTTAAAATAAAAATAAAGAGATATTTTAAAATTTAAGATATATAACATATTATTAATTTTGAGTAAAATATTTACATACTAAGATACAAGATATATACCATTTGTTGTCCAAAATATATCAAATGGTTACATTGGCTCAATGGTTTGGCATGCATTACTTCACTCAAGGGTGTTGCTTTATTTTCTTCCAACCGGAGGATAACATGTGTCACACTCTGATTGGTAGAAATAAATATATTAAATTAAAAATAAATTAAAATTAATTTAGTCTTCAATCAAATGATAATATGTTTGATGAAAGGTGTGTAACCAATGACACATGACACCTCTGATTCGTAGGTAAATTTATTTTAATTTATTAAAATTATGATCAAATTGACAGAATGTATAAATAACATGGACTATTTATGTAATTATACTATCTAGGTAAGTCTGTTTACGGCTGTTAACAATCCACGTGTGTTTTCTGTCACGCCTGTTAATGGCGAGTGACCAATTTATAACAAACGAAAATGTTAGTGACTGATTTATGACTTTTGAAACATCAGTGGTGAATACAAAAACTTACTCAAATATCAGTGACCATTGGAGTAGTTTACCCTATTTTTAATCATATTTTTTCTCTACCTTAAATCAGAAACGACATCAATCACTAATGAATTTTAAACAGACCCGGCCCGATGAATTTCTTTTATTGCATATTGTTCCATAAAATCACCCACCCAATCTATCTATCCACCTCTTCAAATTACTTTTTTAAAAAAATCCACGTCTACAGCTTTTTCTTTCTTTTCTTCTAATTTTGCTTTTATGTCATCTACACGTGGCATCTAATGATTGGATAATACAAAATGCAACATCACATCATACACCAATTTAGTCTTTTACTATAACATTTTTTATTCCTATTTTCATATTATTTCGATTTGGTACACCTGTCTGGTGAATGGAACCTTTTTTTCTGAAAATTTTGATTGAAAGTAAATATACGTCATTTTCAATGTGTACAAGTTTTATTTTAAACTATTTTTAAAAATAACTTTGCAAATTACATAAAAGCCCCAACGGTTCAACCGAATTTAAAGGCGTATGCCATTATTAATTTATTACTAGAATTTTCATAAACACAACCATAATAATTTCATCAAAGAACTTGGATCTCAAACAAACAGACCATCTCAGCTAAACCATAAGCCACAATACCTTTTCATCGCTAAATCAATAATAAAATTGAGATTTAAAACAAAAGGTGAAGATGGAATATGAAATACTATAGATTTGATCCAACACGAAGAAGAATCAGAGAGAAATTATCTTCTTCATCTGCAGTTCTTATCAAGATTTCAACCGACTCTTTTCTCCCTCCGTGGAACTTTTTTCCCCTTTCTTGAGATCAAGCATGGATCTCCAAGTTTCAGGACGAAAAATGTCTACAATAGTTTATTTAATTGAATTGAATTTAAGATCCAATCGGTAAAACTCAAACTTTGATAATCTTGGCCGCTTTAACCACGGGATTTTCTCTAGCGATGGCCTCGCGACCCGCTGCCTTGTAGTCGTAACTACAATCGTGTCGATCCGAGTACCGATGATCAGAACAGAAAAGCTCCCCGCATCGACACCTGAATCCGGTCAACCCGACGCGTTTTCTGCAACCAGAACACCGATTCACCGATTTCTTTTCCAAGGAATCGTTTCCTGATCGAATCGATGCGTTCATCGCTCTATTCGTAGTCGTCGTCGTCGTCGTCGCAGCTGTCGTAGGCGGAGCAGAATCAGATCGGCCGTCCTGTGAACAAGACAGTGTAGATCTCGAGGATTTATCGTCGGAGAATTCGACTCCAGCGGCACTCGCATCACCGGTGGCGGTTGTGGTGGAAGAGGAAGAGGATGATGTAGCGGCGGTAAAACATTTCTGGCACATGTTATTGGTGGCTGGACTGGCCGTAACGCCGCAGTTGTTAACGCAAAGCGTTAAGGTTTCGGGGACTTTGAATTCGGTCTCTTCTTTCTCGGTTCTTTGAGCCATATCTCCGCTATGGTTTTTTGATTCCGAAGAAGGAACTAAAACAAGGATTTGGTGGAGACGAGAGAAAATTGTGTTTTGTTTGAATGGAGATTAGCGAGAGAGAAATTTAGGGGGCGAAGGGGATTTGAAGGGATCCAAAAAGGTTGGTCAGTAATGGCAACGGAATATGGGCCTCGTTGAGACGCGTATGAAACGAACTTTTTTTTTTTTTTTGCATATTGTGCAGTCGTTATTTTACAAAACTAACCTCCTCTCTTTAGGCGTTATTAAATGAAAAAAGCCATTTATTATTTTATTAAAAAAAACCCAAAACAATATTAATTGAAAAAATATCCTTCAAATTATATAAGCAGAATTACCTCGTATTCTATGAAACGCATTTAAAAAACTAACGTCCTACTAAAAGTAAGTTTAATACATTTATTGTATCTTTTATCTAAAAATTAAATAAATTTACTTGAATAATTAATGAATTTCACTTTTCGTAAAGCGTAAAATCTTTGAAATACGTTTGTATTTAAGAAAAAAAAATTCAATTAACGATGTTTGGGTTACTTTTCCAATAGATGATTTTTTTGGGTTTTCTAAATAATAACGCCGTCGTTTTTCTCCGCTTCAACTTGCTTCCTCTCTCTGACGTGTTTTACTGGAATGCGCTGCTTTACCTCATTTTATTCTCGTGGGACCGCGTTTTCAATTACACCCCTAAAAGTAAAGGGTAAACCACACATTTAATACTTAAACTATCCATTTAACTACTTAATTTTTTTTTAAATCATACTTAATGTTTATTTTTTGTTTCATTTTAGAACTCCGAAATTAAAACCTTAACCATAAACTATCATTTTTGGTCCATTTCAGTACCTAAACTTCCAATTTGTTTCAAAATCTAACGTTAAATTTGAATATGTACTAAAATGAAACAAGAACTAAATTTTCGGTATGATTTTAAAAATATAGAAGTTTAGGCACTATAATATACCAAAACTGATAGTTTATATACTAAACTTATAATTTACCCAAAAAATCATTACCTAGTAAATTTGGGTTGATATTTAAAATTTGAATTAATAAATAAAATAATGAAAAAAACTTAATTAATATAGGTGCATAAATTATTTTTTTTAACTCATTCTAAAGTCTAATATTACACTTTAGGTGTTCAGGGTGTCAATTGTATTAATTATCTCGTTAAGTGACACGTGTCACAATATGATAATTTTATTATTATTTTATTTAAAATTAAAAAAGTAAAATTGTATAAAATTGTATATATAACATAAATATTTTGAAATAACCCCAATTTTTTTTTTTAAAAAAGCCTTCATTTAACCTTAAAACCCACACTGATCGTTGCACTTTTCCGTCGACGAAACTTCACCCAACCTCACCTCTCCCTGATGACTAAAATGCCTATGAAATTGTGATCGATCAACGACGAATCGACATTTTATACCAGCCAATCTTATGATGAAAATCGCGATTCCGACGGTCAATCGACGACAACTACGACGACGTATGACTAGGAGGATGATAGGGACTACATCGATGGCAGTGATTTTGATTGGAAAGGGTGACAAGTTAAAGTTAGGATTTAGGGATTTTAACGATTTTGGAGTATTTTTATAATTTAAAAGAAATTAGGATTTTTTTAGAAATATAGTAGTATTTTTAATATTTAAAAAATCAAAACCATCAGAATATTACACGTGTCATCTAACAGAGGGAACTAACGCTGTTGACAGTCCAGACACCTAAAATAATAACATTTTCAATATCAGACACCGAGATGAATTAAAAAATAGTTTAAGCACTATTCAAAAAATAATATAATTTAAACACTTATTTTGATAATGTATCAAGTGGTAATAGAAGTGGGGCAAGCCATCACATGTTTGCTTGCAGATATTTTTTTAACTGTGGGGGAAGGCAAAAGAAAGAGGAGGGTGTAATGGGAAAAGTGGCAGCCCACCACAGGCCAGAGGGTGTCAAACATTTCTTGTTATTCTAAATTGGGTGGGCTTCCCCCCGCCCCAAATATCCTTTTCCATGACCTCACTTTCTCTCTTCCTTTTTCTTGCTTTCGCCTATACGTCTAATCGCATCTATACGTGGGTGTATCGAGTTAAGTCAACTCGAATTAAATTGAATCAAAATAATTTGAACTATTTAAGTTGATAAATATTATTTTAAAACTCGAAGTTAATTTATAAATTTTCTCAAGTTAAATTAAATTTATAAACTTTGAATTGAGTTGAATTAAATTTTTCGAGTTTTTGTTTAAACTTAAATGTAAATATTTATAATATTATGATATTATTTTATTATAATTTAAATAATTTTTTTATAACTATATACAATACATGTATAGTTCTTCATATTTTTTCATATGTAATGTAAATATATTATACAAAGTCGATGGACTTAACTTAAATTTAAAAATCAATCCATTAATTATTAAAAATTTCAAGTTACTATTTAAATTATATTTTATAACTCGATTTGAATATGAAAAAAATTATAGGTTGAATAAATTAAGTCGAGTTGAAAAAATTATTCTTTCGAAACGAGTTGATTGATACTCACCCTATCTATATGGGTATACACGTATGTTTCTTATAATGTCTTTCGTTCTTTTATGCCTTATTTATCAGGGAAAACTACATTGATGGGCATTGAACTTTTAGGATGCTTCTATTTTAGTCATCAATTTTTTAAAATTTGTATTACTATCAGTTAACTTCTAATTCATTTTTATTATGATTATTGCCGCTGAGAAATGACGTGTGAAGTTAAAATCTATAATTTCGGCGACTCTACTTATTAGCCTTTTTATTAATGGGTAAATATTTTTTTTTATTAATTTGGATAAATATAAGGTATTATCTATTTTTAAAGATAACTTTCAACCGACTTGAGTGATCCTTGTCATAAACTTATTTATTACATATGTCCATATCTATTCAATACTTTTTATCTGATATAGATTGCAAAGGGCTATTTTCTTAAGAATAATTTTGTGCCCACTTCATGAGTTTATAACATCGATTTGATTTTCAACAAATATATCTTACTCATCCTTTTGGCTACAGTTTTCTGATACATGGAAGACGACCATTCATGTCTTTAATCTGGTGCTTTGGTGAGCTTTGCGAAATGCAGTCGGAACTTCGTGTCCTCCTATTTTGGCCGAAGAACCGTTATTTAAGAGCCTTCCATTCATCATTGCCAGAATTCGGTCCGTTGCAAGAGTGCCAAATCTAATGACAACAGTGACCAAAGCTATGGAAGAAGCTGCTGGAAGTGTGATTGACAGGCTAGGCCCTGGAATGAATGGATTTCAAGACCTGTGACAAGCAGTATGAACAATATGGAGATGTATCTTAATCTTAACCAGCATCTGAAAAGAAAAAAACCAATCAGCATACTATCAAAGAGATTATGGAGGACTACTTGCTGGTAACATAACAGCATTAGAAAGTGAGACTGGGTTGTCTGTCTTAGAGTTATCCGTTAGGCAATGAAGGGTACGGTGATCTTATCGTTGTTTAGCCATGGGATTATGGACGTGTCGCCGACTGGTACATCAAGTGGAAACAAGGGTGATAAACCAGTTATGGTGCAATCTTAAACAGGTCAGCTTATATGGAGTTCATGTTTCGGTAAAATCACCTACATGACATAAAATGTTACATGGATAATTTGGGTCCAAAAAGTATGCACCATTCATTCTGAATCGAATGCAACTGGCATCACAAAGCATTAGATGAGTATAATAAACCATCATCTCCAAATGTCAAATGAAATCAACAATGCAAAAAGGAATTCAAAGCCTTCTAGTTATTCAAACATATGATAACATCATTATTATTAGCAATTTAGCAAATGTAACGGGAGATATTTTCGTCTGATGTATGTTCTGTTGCTAAGCAACAAAGCAATCATCCTATTCCTAGGCAATTCATAACCCATTTAATAGAAACAGAAACAGGGAACCCAAATCTGATAACTTTGAGAAGCTCACTTAGACAACACATTGAACATCAGCCCGATTGATGCCCCGGCGATGCACAAGAAAGACACAACACGGAACCGAACAAACAAGACATTCAAGCTCTTAGCAACCTGTAGAGTAAGGGTCAGAATCTGCAGCCTACCTCGCTCCTCCATCATCTTGAAGAAGTACATAGGCTTCACCGATTGCCGCAACATAAACGCCAGCGTAAAAGGGAACCCAAATGCCATCACACTTTGGATGGTAAACGCGTTCAACGGATGTGCCCCGGGACCATGAGCATAGGATATCCAAGCTCCAAGACCAAGGTGGAGCAGACCCAGAAGAGCTACCGCTTTGCTCAGTCCATATATGTTCTTCATCATCGCTTCAAGAACCTCTCGCGTCTCGTTAGCCAAGGCCGATAAATCACGTTCCACGGTCGGTCCCTCGATTTCTTGGTGCTTTAAATCAGGGTTTTGACCCGGGTGGGATTCACGGCTACTGGTGTCCGATTCCTCATTGTCGGCTTTTGGGGTAGGGGTAGAAGGAATTGTTGAAAGATATCTGGGACTTATACTACCATATGATGCTCTTCTGATGAAATCCAAATTCGCCTTCAAGGATTTAGGACCCAGTAGTGTATCTAGGGTTCGTTCAGTCGAAGAACAACAGCTTGACGAGAACGATCTAGTATAATAGAGATGCGAAGTCATTTGGTTTAGGGTTGAGACAGGGGGAAAGAGATGGGATTGGAGATTAGGGTTTAAGGGGGGATATATGAAACAAGAAGAAGAAGATGATGAATTGCAGCGGAACAGGAGTTTGGTGATTAAAATACGACCACGAGAGATCATTGTTGCAATTCAAAATTACAAGTGATTGGAGCAGAGAGTGAGCGAAGGGAAGAGAAGGGGAACACTCCCATTTGCAGACCCAGTAGCTCCAGGCAAATGCAATGGGTAGGGTTAATCTTACGCTTAATACACAGTTTAGTACCTAAGTTTCAGGAAATAAATAATTCAGTCCTTTCTCGTTCAGTACGTAAAATATCACCTATTAAACGGCATATGTTTTATTTTGGCTTAATATCAAAATAAGTGTCCAAATTATATCTCTTTTACCGAATAGATATCTAAACTATTTTTTTACTCATCTCGATGCCTGACGTTACAAACGTTACCCTTAAGGTGTTAATTTGTTCGTTAAGAGACATGTGTCACAATATGTTAATTTTTAAAAAAATATTTAAAATTAAAAAAATAAATTATTTTTATTTTTAAAAAGAAAACACTAAATTTTGAAATAATTTTAAAACTTTGAAAATCTTTATTTCAACCCTTAACCCCACGCCGATCACCACCTTTTACCGTCGACAAAGCTCCACCCGACCTCACTTCTCATCGATGACCAAACCCACACAATTTCTATAGTTAATCGACAACAACTATGACCTTGTATAACTATGAAGATGACAGAGACTACATCAACAATGATGGTCGTGGCTGGAAAGGACCACTGCAGCGGATTAAAGTTAAGATTTAGGGATTTTAAGTATTATGGGGTTTTTTATAATTTAAGAGAAATTAAAGTTTTTTTTAATAAATATAATAATATTTTAAATTTTTTTTTTTTAAAATATAGATTTCAAAATCACCAGATTGTGACACGTGCCACTTAACAAAGAAATTTAACGCCATTGACGACCCGAGCTGTAACACCCCAACCCGTACTCTACCCGGATACGAGTCCGAGATGTCACATTAACTTTTCGAAACGATATTCTTACAAAATAACAAAATATTTTAATTCATATTAATAAAATACAATAATATACTATTAAATTATGTTTCATTATAAAAATTTAAGGATTTGGACGAAGCATTCTTGGATGGGGCGGAAAACTGGATACCGGATTGAGAGGTGTTTCATAGATCGGGTCCGGAGCCCCACGTGATGGTTTCCGGGTCACCGAAACTGAATCTATACGAGACTGATTTCGGGTGGGGGAGGGCAGGGAAGATAGAGGAAATTTCTATCGATAATGCCAAAGGCAATGCAGTTTCGTTCACCGAAAGCAGAGACGTGAAGGGCGAATAGCCTTGCCTAGGGCCAAAATGGATGCTTTTGCATGTTTCTTCAATCAATTACCGCACAATTTAGCCGTTTAGTTTCAGCAAAATTTAGATAATTATTTGTTAGACGTTTTAAATTGCAAAAATAGACGGTATCAATCAGCATGCGTCGTATATGCATTGTAGGAGACAGACTACTTGTGAGTCAAAATATTATGAGTATAAAAGAGTTAGAGGATTTGGTGCGAAGAAAAAAAATTAAAGGCAATTGTAGTCAAAAGATTAAACTGAGTAAAATATAATATTAAAGATCTAAATACAAAAATACGTTTTTAGTAAAAAATAAGAATATGTATTTTATAGAGGTATATGAACGCGTGATTTAAATTTGATAAAAATAAATTTAAAATAAATGATAAATTTAAGAAATAAGGAAATTATAAAAAATTGAGGGAGTAAATTAAAAACAAAAAACTTGTTATCGAAAAGAGAAATTGAAAATATATATATATTCTACTATTGTTAGATACATGTGGTTCTAATTTGATTGAAAATAAACTTAAAAATAAAGGAGGAAGCGAAAGAATAATAAAATTAGAGGCTAAATCATACAACTGTCAAATTACATAATCAAATAATTTATTTTTCAGAGTAACTCAAAATTTCTAAATTTCAACTTGACTCAAATACAAAAATCGAATTGATAATTTGATTTAACTCGAATAATTTAAAATTACAAAAAGAAATTTAATTTTTCAAATTGAGTAGAGATTTACTCGCCTGTGTTTCCAACTATTCATATCATAACATGCAATCCGTTTTGGTGGGCAACCTCCTGAAGATGTTCTCCGGTGCGCTAGGAATATCAACGCCGAATCTTGGCGGTCTCATCACATATAACCCCACCAAAACAAGGACGCACCTCGGTGGAACAATCCCGCTCAAAACAATAACGCCAACCGTCACACAAAACGCTAGAAATATAGCACTAGCCACCCGGTCCTGCCAGCTCCACAGAGCGTTCAACCTCTCCCCTTGCGTTGCCAACTCCCCCACCATAACCACAACCTTCCCGGCTATGCTTCGCAATCGATCGTATCTCATTCTCAGTACGTCACCTTGTTTCGAAGACGGGAATGTGTCGAACTCTTCGTCCCACTCGTCGGCATTCGTTGAATCTGCGAGTGATAGTTTGATGTCGACGTGGGTTGGATCACGTGGCCGCTTACAGTATCGCCAAATCCCGATTAGAAAGCAGTAGGCCAGCAACGTAGGCATTACCAAATTTGGATTAAACACCACGGTTGAATATAATACTATGACTAAAACATTTGCAATAGGATTGTTCCACTTCTTTATCTTATCAAACAATTTCCTTGCCTCCGTGACTAAATGGATTGCCTCCATTAGTCTTTGAATGTTGGCCTTGGCCCTTCGGGGACTCCATAGTCGGTGACCGGCATCCAACATGCACTCTACAACCTCTTTCCTTAACGGTGGATCAGCACGGCTCAACCTTTGGGACACAATGCTGACGGCTTGTTGCCTTAAACTGTCGAGCTGAGGTACCGACAACGGGTGAATGTAGTGCATCTTGGGAAACAGAGGTCGTGCATAAGTTGCCAGTAAACTTGTATGAGACGGGCATGTAAATCTTAGGGCCAACTGAATTTCACCCATCTTTTTCACACCACTTGGTTGCAGTACTATGAGAGGATAAGAATAGGCATAAATTCGATTAGTTGACAGGGTGGACAATCGGATTCTTAGCTTCCCGATACTCGGGTCCTTCGGAGTTGGACCCTTCTCTCCATTGAGGTGACAGTTATAAAAAATTCCAATAAGAAGGACCGTATACGGATCGTATACCTCCCAAGTGTATTGCTCGTTCCATTTAGGAGAAAAGCTGTCAACGGCTGTTCTTGTTCGTACCCACTTTGGCCCAAATTTGGCCACACAATAAGCATCAGTAGTTTCTTTACCATCCCTTGACTTCATTGGAACCAAACCACTGGCACTTATAATCCCCAACTCCAGCACCCCAATTGCTGGTGGCCACAACCCTTTAAACGTTGCTCTGTAATCACTAATGAAGTTGACTGGTTCATCGAAAACATGATAGCCACCATCCAATGATATTCTCATGTTAAGCTTACTAGAAAACTTTAGCTCTTCCACCTCTACACCAACGTTTCCGAGATTGTACCATTTCGCACCCACCGGTTCAGGCCGCCACCTTATGTAGACCTTGGATAGATGAATCACACAGCTTCCAAGGCTAATTTCGTCGTCATTGTTTTTTTCTAGCACAGTCAAAATCAGAGGATCATAGAAGGGCTCTGCAGCAACAAACATTAAATCTTCGTTCCATCTCGGGTTCAGAGACTTGTCCGCCGAAACTTTAGTCCTCAACTTCATATCCCCGAGACTTGCCTTGACATAAACGTCAGTGATCCTGTTCCTGTCACTGGGCAGAACCAAATCCTGTGCTTCAATTATATTTACTCTAAGATACCAAAGCCTAGGTGAAATATAGACCTTGGAAAGAGTATTCATAATGCTGTCACCACTAACGGGGGCTACATCCGAATGCCATGCATCGGGGAACACCTCATCGGCTTGTGTCCCAAACCAAAGAGCCAACATCAACTCTCCTACCGAACTGCCATTGGCCATGTCTTTGTCCTCCAATTTATACCACTGTGGGGCTAGTGGACTATCGGGTGGAACTCGAGTGGGAATATCAGACATTTTAAACGCAATCTTACCGATGAACTCGTCGTTTACGGACTCCTTTTTTCTCATGGTGATCTCCACGGATAAGGACTGAATACGAACTTTTTCGAAGGTGAACACTTGGTTCCATTCCGGGTTTGGTTTACTACTCTCGAAATACTTGGTGGTTCCCTTGTAGTTTCCTATTTTTATTTCAACAAATGGGTAACGAGTGCCACCGGCATTGTTGCATGCCAAATCTCTTGCTTTCACCACTCTCAAGAATAAAAAATGCATCTCTTCGACAAGATCGAACGATGATGTGAGCTTTTCGCCGCTGCCGGAGACTCTCCCTCCACCAATATTTGGTTTGATCACCTTCAAAGAATAGTCTACCGCCGGCATCCTGCAGCCAAACGGAAGAAACTATACGGTAACGTTCCGATCTACTAGATGCTGAAGTGAAATCGTATTATATATCGACACGCAGATGGATTGTAAATTTGAGGGCAAGTGTTTAACTTACCTGTAATCCACGACTTCTTTTATTATTAGTAAAACATTATAAATTTTGATTAAACTACAAAAGAACAATAGCACAAGTTAACAAAGGAGGTACCGATTACCTTGACAAAAGGTTGAAGGAGGCAACCACGAGTTAACCCTAGAGTTTTCTCTGTTTTCTTTTATTGTTACACAATAATGGAAAATACAATACATGTGTGTATGTATATATATATATATATTGAATAAAATTGGAAACTTTTTTTTAAAAAGGAAGACTTGAAAAGGAAAGAACGAAAAAAGAACGTTTTCAATTAAAAAAAAATCTCTAAAGAGGTTCAAAATTGGCATGTATACAACTAATTAAGCAAATATATCCTCCATAAGGAATGATTGTTCACGGTCGCTGCAATTTACAGAGGGCTCTTGAAGCTGTTCGTAGTTCATCTGTCTTGAAGCTTCATACAAAGCAATACCAACACTCACAGAGAGATTGAGAGATCGAACGTGAGTCTCAACCATCGGAATCCGAATGGTTCCGCCTCCATAAGTCTCACTTTTGCAATCAAACAATGCATCAGGAGGTAGGCCACAAGTTTCTGAGCCAAATACCAGGTAATCACCTTTTCTATATGAGAAGTCCTGCAACACCATCACAACTTCTAGTCAACTTCATTCATATAATCAAATAAAATGATTCAAATTAGCCCTTAAATGCAAAAATAACTTTATCGTAGTCACTGCTTGCTTGCCTACTCTAGCACATTATTAATCTGTGTTTTTAATTTTGAAACAAAAAGGAAAAATTTTAAACAAAAATGACCTTGAATGTTAAAAAAAATGTTCACTTGATGTGTTTTGACATGAAGAAAAGCGAAAGTTCAATGTTTTTTAGAACAATTCCATAAATCGGCATTTTAATGTTTAACCTGACTGCCTATACAATTTTATCCATTTGCTTCAAAATTAAATGTACAACAGTACAAGAACTAAATTGCTTACTTGATTAATTTGGTCCTAAGCCTACAGTGCAAAGACCAGCTAGGTATTTTAACCTAAGTTTTCCCACTCTCCTTTTGTCTCAAACAGTCATCTTTTTCACATTCATTCTCTTGAAGTTGATGTGAATTCAATGATTCTCTAGTTACAGGAATTTGTCATATGGTGATTATAAGAGTCGAATCAGTTTACTCCCAATACACTCATTGCAAAGGATGTACCGAACTTCCTTTTAGAACTACAAATAAACTGAGAATGGACAAGACCTTGTTTGATTTCATTCACAATGAATGCCTCGCCAGTGAATTATGTAAACACAGATATAGAATAAAGATGGTTGTCCTCTAACATAGGATATGCATAGAGCAACTTTAGAACCGTGGTTAACATAGGATATTCATAGAGCAACTTTAGAACCGTTGTTGACCTCCTTAAGATTTTGATATCTTTAAACGAGAAGGGTCTTGAAAGTTCAGAGACTCTACCCTGGATGTTTATCAGCAAACTTAATAGTATCTTAGGGTTACTAGCCTAAGTGCTAGCAATTAACAGTAACATAAAACATAAGGCAGAAAAAGAACATCAAGCATTACAAATGGTCTTGATCAGAACTAAAAATCATCATATTATAACATATCATAGAGTACAGGAAGAAAGGAAACACACTGAATGAATAGTTGTTCCTCTTTTAGTAAAAGCCAGCAAGCGCTTATTCCCTTCCTGTATCATAGGACCAAATATATTTGGAGGAAATTAATAAACAACGATACAGAACATTTTCTAATTCACAGTTGGGACAGAAAGAGAAAAACCTGTTGCTTGAAATAGCTCTGAAACTCTGCCCATGTGTTATGTATTCTAACTACAACATATCTGACATAGAGTTATTGGAGAAAACAGGAGACATCCATACAAAAATGCAAGGAAAATGAAGTCAATGAAATGCAGTTTGGATAATCTTTGCAAATTATGCTAATTGGAAAGCCTTTCAGGCTATGTATATGCCAAATGGTACAGTAAATTGATGAGCAATGAGAAAGTGGCAAATTAGAATTCAACAGAACATAATAGAATCTTAAAGGGAAAATACAGCGAAAGGATAATCAATGAGAAAAGGGTATGTATAGAACACAGATAAAGGAGGATACGGCCAGTAATCCAGTCCAGCACGTTTTAATTTAGTATCATCCACTTTAAATCCTAATGGCTGGAAAAACAACCACAGAAGCATCTCAAATAAAAGGTCAGGCTTGGCAAAATTAAGTAAAGTAGAACAGAAGAAAAGAAGAGAAAATGATACCCCAACAAGGTGAAGGGCAACGGCTGAGGCGGCACATGTTCTTGCAATGCAACCAGCATTTCCAGGAATCTGAAAAGAAGAGCTGAAAGTGAAAACTTATATGAGTTATACGGCATCAAGATGAAATATAGTGTAGATACCTTAGGAGAAACTAAGACGACTTGAAGTAATTTCTGTTGAGAAAGTGAAGGGTCAGGGTCAAAAGCAGGCAACGAGTTGTTCCCATTTCCTGTTTCAGCTTCTGCAACACCCCAAGCCAAAAAGAAAGAAGAAAGCCGGTTACTTAATTAATTTAGAACAAAAAAGAAGCACACATATATACATATATCAATGAATAAAGAAGGGTCTTACTCTTAGCCTTAGTCTGAGTGTAAATCCTGGTATTAGAGAAAGAAGGGCGAAAGCTAGGGTTGGAGAAAGGAGGGAACAGAGGAAGAGAAGTTTTGTTAATATGCCTTGAGCTTAAAAGAAGATGGGATTGCGAATACTGGAGTGAAAATGGGATTGCTCTCATTCTTACTCCTAGTGATGCAAATGCTACAACTGATTGCTTACTACTTGGTCTTTGGCCTTTTCTCTCTGGGATAACTTCAGCAATATATACCAAGTCACTATGGCAAGAAAATTAGATAACCTTTTTTTTTTCAATTTTAACCCGCTTGGCCTTACCTTATCCAGCAAGTGTCGCTGGCTCTTTCTAATGGAGAAAGGAGCGTCATCTACCCTTTTTTGTTAATGATTTTTCCTTACAAGGCTGCAGCTTTAGATGAATCTAAATGCCTCAAATTTGTAAAAGGGCCTGCTTTTGCTCCTAACAAAATATCTATTGAGTGTAAGCCCATTGATTCACACAAGACCACCCAAATTTCTCTGAGGCAAACTTGCCTAGATCTGTTTGAAACAGAAATCGAAGTTGTGGCACCTCCTCTCAAGGTGGCTGCAGATGATGATGATGAGAGGACCAAGCTGTTGAGAAGTTTTCAGATAACAAGCCTATTAGATGCCTCTGGACAAGGATCAAATCAAATGGATGTTGGTAATTACTGCTTTTATTCATCTAGTAGTACTGCTTAGGAGGTGACATGCTTAGGCTTCATGTCTGATACAATTCCATGTTTCAAACTACAATGGTTCGTGAATATTTGAATTTCTAACTTATTTCTTGTTTTAGGACCAGATAATATTAATAATTCCTCTTTTCTCATTAAGGAACTTTTCCCTAAGTTAAATAATCCACTTAATTTAGTGCTGTGATCTGCTATAAGTCTTCTCTGATCTTGAAGTGATGGAGGAATAGGGCAAAACATCCTTGAATATATCTTGGGCTTATTATTCTATCTGCTATAAGTTTGTCGTTGTCTTGCAGTTGGGTATCAACAAACATTAGGTTAAATTTGCACTTCAACATTTTTATAATCATATTTAGAATATTTAGTATTTTTACATGATTTACATATTGAAAACAAATTGTTAATTCTCGAGTGAATTTTAATATTTTATTATGATATTATTACTATGATGTAATGACATTCATTAATGTTGTAGATATTATTGTAAACAGTTGATAGATAGGATTGTTGGACACCTGAACATATATATATATATATATATACATTCATTTCTAAGCTACTGGCCCATTTAGTGCATCACCAGCGACGATGGAGTTTTACATGATAGTTGCATTTCCTGTTCAGAGTTCAAGTGAATTTCATCACCTCGTTAATACTCTAAAACATTTACAAATTCTTACATATATATATATATAATGTCTGAAAAAATGCATCATCATATGCTCAAAAGTAACAGATCACGTCAAAATATTTAACTAAAGAAAAAAAGTATCATCATGACTGTATGTCTGAAGATATAACGACTGTATGTCTGAAGATATAACGACTGTATGTCTGAAGATAGAAGGCTGTATAAATGATAAAATAATAGTCAAAGGAGTTAAACTCGTAAAAAACACATAGTATAGGGACCATTTACCCGATTTAACCTTTCATTTTGGGAAAGCGAGAATCCGTCTGTGTTTTTTCCTCGACCCGCCCGCCACAATATCGATTGTCAAAATCTCGTCTTTGCCTTGACTTTCCTAGAAAGTAGAAACCCCTGCTCCTTGTAATAAACAAATAGTATAACCAACGAAGACGACGGTCGTAAATCCAGCTCGTGACCAAGTTGCAGTTTTGATTCACGGATAGATCCATAGAAATGTCTAGTTTACAAAGGGGTTTCGATCAAAAAATAGATTACGTGTTCAAAGTGGTGTTGATTGGGGATTCCGCCGTGGGAAAATCCCAGCTCTTAGCTCGCTTCGCAAGGAATGAATTCAACATCGATTCCAAGGCCACCATCGGCGTCGAGTTCCAAACTAAGACTTTGCTTATCGATCATAAATCCATCAAGGCTCAGATTTGGGATACTGCTGGTCAAGAAAGGTATTATGTCGTTTTTCATATTACTCGATTTGTTTATGGGAATTGGAATAGTTTTCTTGCATCGCTTTGATCATCTTCAGACTGATTGTTTATGGGAATTCGGATGATGCCTATTTCTGTTTTGTTTCTAAAAAGCTTGAGACTTGAGATTAGATGATTGGTTTCCCTTTGATTTGTGACGTTCATAGCTCATTCTTGTGTTTGGTCACTCGTGATTGATGTATTATAAGGAATGCTAATGCTAGTTTTTATTATATTTGTATGGATGGTGGTGGTCGTGATGGTGGCGATTCTTCGAATTCAGGTACCGGGCGGTAACGAGTGCATACTACAGAGGAGCAGTGGGGGCAATGCTGGTGTACGACATAACTAAGCGTCAGACGTTTGATCATATTGCCAAGTGGTTAGAGGAACTGCGTGGACATGCTGATAAAAACATTGTGGTGATGCTTGTGGGGAACAAGTCTGACCTCGGCTCCCTTAGAGCCGTTTCCGTGGAGGATGCCAAGGAATTCGCTCAACGGGAAGGCCTCTTCTTCATGGAGACTTCGGCCCTGGAGGACACTAATGTCGAATTGGCTTTTGTTACGGTCGTGACCGAGATTTACCGAATCATCAGCAATAAAAGTCTGGTGGCTAATGATGAACATGAAGAATCTGGAGGTAATGCATCACTTCTCAAAGGAACCTCCATTGTTGTCCCTGGACCCCAACTAGAATCTGGCTCTGGAAAAAAGAGTTTCAGTTGCTGTGCATCGTCGTAGCCATAGGAACTTCCTTCTTCAACCTCTTCTAGCAGATCTTTTCAATCTTTTTTATATAAAGTTATCCCTTCTTTATGTGTCTGATCATGTGTATGATTTGTATTGTAACACACATTCCCCTGGTTGATTGATATATTTATATAGGGAGAGATGTTCAGGTTTTTCTTCAAAATTACACTGATGTACTGCATTTTATATCAATATCCGACCTGTAATCTCTTTCTGACTCTAGATCTCGTATTTTTGATTGTTAGGCATGGCTGCAATTGTTTCCGAACGGCCAATTGTTTCAATTTTACAAAGTGTGATTATTTCCAGTATTCTGGTGATGTTTCTATTAGATCTTTCCACTCAAGTGCAATGGAAGTAATTGAATCCTATTATTAGTCTTGTTGTTTGTGTGGCTCTCCCAAGAACCCTAACAGTTCGTCTAGAGAAGCCTGCAATTTTTAGTCTCGAGATGTTGTCTCCGTCGCCGAAGAGGACACGAGAGTGTCTCTGAATAAAAAGGGTGTATCACGCCGAGAGTCGCAAAGTGCATAAAGAATTCGAATAGTTTGTGCTTGCTGGGGCTCAGACGAATCAACAAAACAACTTTAAAAAAGCTTTAATATGCAACTTGCTAGCCTATCTTTCATGTTGTGCCATTTACAGATACTAAGAACAGGGAAAGGCTCCGACGACGAGCTCTGCATAATTTTATTCTTGAAAGTCAGACATGCATCTACTTCATTGCATCACCTGCGCATGCATCAAGAAAAGAAATCCAAAAAAGTTAATAATCAATCTGTTGAAACAGGAAAAATATAAAAGCTTTTGTCTAGACGGTGAGGGTAATCGAAGGATACATGGTTCGAAGTTGGCCGAACACTTCTGAGGCAGCTGGCGTGCCATGTTCCGATCCACACCAGTTATGGGAGGACCATTGACAAGAACACACAGACAAGGTTGACCCAGAGCTTTGATCGCGTTGCAGCAGGTATCGCTCGGCGGGATGCGGCTAAAGGGAGTGACCGCTGCTCTGCACGGTATTAACTGCACCAGTGCCGACAAGAATGTGCTGTGACAAGCAGTGAACTGACCTTGTTTCACCATACCTGTAAGGACCAACACCAACACCATCAAAGGCGCTGCCTCGGAGTTGGACCCTAGAAGAAGATGAAGCTTCATATTAGATTTTGAGCTTATCTTCACTCCCTTGTAAATTGGAATGCTTGGTTTCCTCTTGATTACAAGGAATTTTAGTGTTGGACACTTGCACTTGCGGAGCAGATATCTGGATATGTATATAAATATGCATGAACAGAAGTCATGTCATGCCATTAGGTACCTCTATCCTAACCACATATCACACACTTCACGCCATCATCTCGCTTGTTCCCCCAAACCAACTTCAACTTCCAAAACTAAAACAGTTGGGCTCTTTAAATTCATGATTTGACTAACCAATTCAAAACCTTTAAAATATTACGTTTTTCACGAACCGGCCTATTTCAGTGGTTAAAGAAATTATTGTTGTTTCTTGAGGTCACGAGTCCGAGTAGCTGCCGCAGAGTGACTTTGTCTCTGTTTAGAACATATACTACTTTATAATCACATTCTCTTAATCTTTTTAGGTATAAGTGGAACTTATTTTTATTTGAGGGTTAACTAACTAAACCGAGATATGGATTCATATTTATTTTCATAACAACATAATTGATTAGGTACCGAAATTACATTACGAGGTGTTAATTCTTCTTCACATATAATCCACTCAATGAACCATTTTTATGATAAATAGACCGATTTTGTTATTTTAATTTTATTAAACTTGTTAGTTTTTGGGTGATTCAGGCATACCCTAATAAAAATTTACGATTATATTAAACCACGATTTAATACGCATTTGAAGCGAAACTTTAAAAGAGGAAATACCTCTTATTTTTAAAGATGTTTCGACACACATCGGTATGTTGTATAAGTCATCACGTGCCTCGGCCTACTTTAATAAGAAACTCAAGCCTAAAATCATAAACAAAAGTTAAAAAAAAATTATTAACCGCTAATCGATCGAGCTTAAAATTATCCGATCAATTAATAAAAAAAATATTTCAATTCAATCCATTAATTCAATTAAAATTAAAGTTTGAACACCCCTATCCGAGATATACCGACAAAATCCATAAAAAATAATTAATAAAATAATCGGATCAGACATTTTTACACATCCCTGTTTGAGACGACCCCTTTTATTATTAGGTGAAAGCATATTATTAAATTCTATGATGCAGAGTCATGAAAAGTAATTAGTATGCCATTATATTATACTCGTCAAATATATACGTGATTAGTATTTATATATTTATAATTATATTCTTAAGTAGTAATTATATTTTTCATATAATTATAATATAGTGTCCAAACATGATTAACTGATAAGACGTAATTAATATAATTTAGTAAATTTATTAATTAAAAATAAAAAAATATATATGTTTGAAATTATTTCTGCTGATCATGCGTGACTACACCTCTTCTCATTCCCCTGCAAAGAATTAAGAATGTTTTTTTTAAGCTATAATTATATTCAATTTAGTGCGACATAATGATTACAATAGTTAATTAAATATATCACACTCTTAAATCTCATTAATGGCAATATTCTAAACATATTCTTAAATTTTTAAAACATTTTTAATTTATCAAACATCATTTTATTTCGAATTTTATATATAAAACATTCATTTTACTTTTAAATGATATACTTAATATTACTGTAGCTAACCAATTAAAAAATATGAATTATTTTCATTTTTATTTATTTTTACAAATTATTCACATAATTAGTTTCGGATCAATGATATGAAAAACGTATCTGATTTGACCGAAATATCATATATATTGTGACTTAATCAAAAAAAATGTCATATATATATATATATATATATTGATTTTTTAATTTTTTAGCTTTATATAATATTTAAAATGTAGCATCATAATCCAGTCTGAACCAAAGATCACTCGATCACGATGTCACACGAAATCATCCAAGTGGCTAACCCAAAAAATTTTCTTTTAAAACTGAACTGATTATAACCATTTGATAAAAATTCATCCATATTGAAATTAATAAAAGGTTTAAATCAAGAGTTATGAATGAATATACAATGGTCCATAATAGTGCATGCTCTCTAAAAGTGACTCAAGACATACTCTGAAATACCTGGTTGCTCTGCTCTGCTGCAATGGAATGTATGATGATGATAACTCCCCACGGACGGTATCTTAACTTGTGCACGGAAACACATCTCGAACGTTGAGATTGCGAGCTTAGTGTCTCACTAAAAACTGTATTATAAGCTAGTTGATGGCACAGGTAAACGCACAAAAGATACCGGTCTACTGTAATGTGGCGGACATCATGATACAGTTGAGGGATTTTACTTGTCGAAGATCACACACTCCTCTAATCTGCCTGAATACCCGAAGGTACTATGGGTGAGATTTAGAAACTGCATCGAAAACGTAAACTCGGTCAACTTACTCTGTCGAATCTTGGAGCAACTGCTCCCAGCTAACGGTAAGTGCCATAGCACTAGCTGGGAGAGGTTAATGTCGCAACTGATTCTTCAAAGTCTGCTGTTGTTGAAGCACCAGCGGCTACAAAGGCTTATGAAGCTACAACTTCTGATAATAATCAGGCAAGTCTCTCTATACTATACTGTTCAGGTTTCTAGTTCTCTCATAAGCTTTTTCTTTTTGTTGCCAAACTTTTAGAAAGTGATCATTGAGTTTGTCGAAGCTTTAAATATTTTCTGCAAAGATAAGTGGATAGTGGATTTGTTATGCATGTTATTAATTAGGTGGAAATTTTGAAATGGTTGCAGCTTTTTTGATGCAGGGGATCCGAGACAGATGATGTTGAGCTGTCAGATTGCACCTTGATGACGATGAGATATCATGAATTGGCAGATCAGCGCAAAGATGAGAATTAATTGTGACATGTTTCTCATTGGGGTCGTTTTGAGTATGTTTCAGTCTTTTGGTCATAACTTTGGCTACATGTGTCAGAATCGCGCATAAGACCCCAATCCGGAAAGCTCTTTTCGACGCGCACACTCTCCATGTGACCTTTTTTTCAACCTCAAATTTTGCCGTTTTCCCCTCCGAATCACTAGATTTAGATATTTTTTACTATTTATGGTAATATTTCGATTGTCAATTAGGAAGTCAATTTAAATCCGATTTAGGCCGGATTTTTTGGAGATTGCTTATTTTATTGCGAATTTCAATTTAGAGTGATTCTCAGGATTTTGCTATTTTTGGCAAAATTCGAATAAAGACGATTTTTTGCTATAACAGTCCGGCTTGTGGACTGATTTTGAGCATTGTTTGATTTTATAATATTTTATTAAACCCTAGAGACTTTTTTCTCTGATTTTTTTGGACGAATTTTCTCTTGTGAATCATCTGTTGGAGCGCCTGTATGATAATCATTATTCTGTCCGGCGTCACTTTTTATATCTACTTTATTTTTTATTTTTACGTGGATTAAGGCATTGCGCGATTAGTGTATTACATGTAAGATATATGAATTTTTGGGCATATAATGTAATATTTAACCATGCTCGGTTCTGTTACCTTATACTTTGTTTGCTGTAAAATGTATTTCAGTCTGTTTAACATGTAAGATATTTTACTCATGCACCCTTTGACCACAGGGTGTAACCGAGGGAAATAAGGCTGATACACAATGTGCTTCTTCATCTATTAAGAGTTGTGAAATGCATGAGATATTATTTAATCCCAACGTTTTCACCGAATTTAAATTGGCTGGGAGACAAGAGGTGAGTCTCCTTTATCTGCTATTTTCCTTCCTTTACAATGCTGCTATGTCGTGAATATCTTGGATATTCTCCTTTGTGTACTCCAGGAGATAGAAGCAGATGAGGAAAATGTGAGGAAAGCTAGTTCTTATCTTTTAGATGTTGTACTTCCTAAGTTTATACAAGATCTTTGCACACTGGAAGTTTCACCCATGGATTGCCAGACACCGACAGAAGCACTTCATGCACATGGACTTAATATCCGATACTTTGGAAATGTAAGCTTTATAAATTATGTGGGTTTATTCGTTAGGTCCATTTTGGTGACACAATGTAAAAGCTGTAAGTGAATTGCATGATTTTACAGGTTGCCAATGGGACCAAACATCTACCTCGTCTTTGGGATCTTTGTTCTAATGAGATTGTAGTTCGGTCCGCAAAGCACATCTTAAAGGTGTATTATTTTTTTCTACGTAACATCTATTCCTGTTGTATAATGCTTTTAATTTTAAAGATATTTTGCTGTGAATTTCTAATATGTAAATTGTAATTAGCCCTCTTGCTGTTTATTTCTGATTATGCAGGATGTTTTGAGAGGTACAGAGGACCATGATCTTGGACTTGCAATTGCACATTTTTTTAGCTGTTTCTTTGGAAGTTCTCTATCTGTTGCTGCAAAATTGACTTGTAGCTCAATGTCCAAAAACCAAAAGAAAGTATGTATCCTGTAGACTTGTTTTTCTTCTCAAGTTACTTGCCTATAATAAGCAATCTCAGGGCATTATTAGTATACTATGTTTTGGTGTGTCAATGATCCAAATCTGAATGAGCTAAAGATTCTGTTTTTAAAGAGGAAGTGCCCTAGGTTATGGTAGTCTAGACTGGACTAGAGTGCCTGAGGTCTGTAGTTACGTTCCAACTATTTGCAGGAGCAAGCAAGTCATCAATCTTCAGGCAAAACATCAAAGGGGCATTCCAGTCCCAGATGGAAGGGTAAACCATCTGCAAGGAAGAATATTTCTTCTTATATGAATGTTAGCTCCGAAAGTTTATGGTCTGTTGTTTATTTTTTTTTTTCCTTTTGGGTTAGATGTCCTATAAAGTCGTTAGATAATCTCATCTGTTGTGAAGGTATACTACTATTATGAATGAATCCTTAGTTGCTTACCACCATATCCTTCTATTAGTGTCGCAAGAAATCATGATATGCTAATACAAGTTTATTGAATCTATGATTATACTTCGCATTGAGCAAATCTAAGCTTTATGTTTGATTCTGGATTTTCCTTTATGTAGTTTGAGTTGCCAGAGGATGCGAGGTCACGAGTGAAGAAAATTTCTGTCTTGCGCAATCTATGTCAAAAGGTTGGAGTTCTTACAATATGCTATTTTTTTAGAGAAAATAACCTCAGTGACCAAAAATCCTAGATAATATACGATTTTGACCAACTTTTTTTGGATTTGCGAAAATGACCAACAAAATCGCATTGCGATCTCCAGTATCGCAAATTCGCGTTGCGATTTTTCAAATTCGTTGCGAAAATTCGTTGTGATAGTTAAAAAAAAAAGATTTTGTTTCTTAAGAATTTTCTCTAAAAAGATAGTATTCGCGCGGACGTGTCGAAGACACGTATTACCACGACCACGACCACGACCACGAGACGGCGGCAACGACGCGCGAGAGTCCCCCTTGTTCTCTATCACTCAACAAGAAAGTGGGAAAGCCAAGCCTTAAATACCATTCCCAATAGTGTTTCCAATACTATGTGGGATTGAGCATTACCAACACTTGTTTCCAATACAATGTGATTATTCAGGAAACAATTAACAATCATGCACCTTAAAACAACTGAATCAGCAACCAATTGCATTAGTATTATACGATTAAATATGTCATAATTAAAAGTCAATCTACAATCAATCGCGATTATTACAATTTTAAGCAAAACATTCAAAAATAATATCACTATTTAAGGCTCAATCTCACATAGTATTGGGAACAAGTGTTGGTAATGCTCAAATCCCACATAGTATTGGAAACACTATTGGGAATGGTATTTAAGGCTTGGCTTTCCCACTTTCTTGTTGAGTGATAGAGAACAAGGGGGACTCTCGCGCGTCGCCGCCGCCGTCCGTCTCGTCTCGGGTAATACGTGTCTTCGACACGTCCGCGCGGATACTATTTTTTTAGAGAAAATTCTTAAGAAACAAAATCTTTTTTTTTAACTATCACAACGAATTTTCGCAACGAATTTGGAAATTCGCAACGACAACTGTAGACTATCGCAACGACAACTGTAGACTATCGCAACGCGAAATGAAAAATCGTAACGCGATTTTCAACTATCGCAACGCGAAATGAAAAATCGCAACGCGATTTTCAACTATCGCAACACGAAATGCAACGCGAATTTGCGATAGTGGAGATCGCATGGCGATTTTGTTGGTCATTTTCGCAAATCCAAAAAAAGTTGGTCAAAATCGTATATTATCTGGGATTTTTGGTCACTGAGGTTATTTTCTTTTTTTTTTATCTTTCCTTATTATTATTATTTTTTTTGATGATTTGTCTCCCATGTCAGTTTCCAAATTTTCTTCTTTTCCTTCATGGCTGGTCCATGCTGTGAAACATTTTCCTTGGGAGATACATCTTGTGTCAGGAATAGACTACATAATTTTGTTAGGAGTGGTTTCCATCGTCATCTGTTCTGTGGATTGTAGTCAATTACATATGCTTGTCTGTTTAAAATTTGGATGAATTTCTAGCTTTAGATTGCTTTTCAGAACCTTTTGTAAGCCTTTGTCTTCTGATTGTCACACGTGCCAAGTAATTTGCACTGCTGGCGTCTACCAGTCTTGAAGTTTCTGATAAAATCAAGCTAGATCTTCTGCTTCACCGTAAGTTTACATGGGAGTTTTCTATACAGGTGGGTATAAATATTACTGCTAGTAAGTACGATTTTAACGCTGCAACACCCTTTCATACATCAGATATCTTGAATCTCCAACCTGTAGTGAAGCATTCAGTTCCTGTATGTTCAGGAGCTAAAGATCTTGTGGAGATGGGAAAGGTCCATTTAGTTGAAGTAAGCGTTGTATTCCATTTTTCACTCATAAACACAAAAAGATATATCTAATTTTGTGGCACCATAGTATCGATTTTTGAATTTGTTGTGTTTCTACTAACCGGGCAAAAGGTTATTCACTGTAGAAAATCTTGAAAGTACATTAGACAAGAAAATTTGAGTTTCATTTTTTTTCTGCAATTGCAATAGGTTTATGGTTGAATTGCATTGGTTATCTAAATGAACCGTTGTGTTCCAATCTCTCTCTCTCAGGGCATGCTTACTGAAGCATACACAATGTTTTCGGAGGCATTTTCAATACTTCAACAGGTAAGTTAGGTCATTCCTCTTATTAAGAGTTCATAAATACAAGTCTTATGATCTAATCAATTGATTGATTTCAGGTCACTGGGCCAATGCACCGGGAGGTTGCCAATTGCCGTCGGTAGTTATCATAACTCAACAATTTTACTGATTTTTGTTTTCTAGTAAATTTTTCTTTCTTCAATATTTTTGTTGTCCAAAAAGAAATATATTACGTCCCCTGTGTATCATGGTAATGGTTCTTCTTTATGTACGTGAAACAACCTTTGTTATATTCACCATGTTAAAGACATGGTCTTGCATCTTCTCTTTAAAATTAGGCGATTCCTTTTTTTTAGTAGAGGTTTAGTTCTCATGTTTTGACTTCCAATCTTGTGTAAATAGTTTTACTTTCCTGTTTTCAGGTACCTTGCTGTGGTTTTCTATCATGCAGGAGATATGGCTGGCACCATCATGCAACAGCACAAAGAACTAATTATAAATGAACGTTGCTTGGGTTTGGACCACCCCGATACTGCTCACAGGCATGGTTTTTTTCTCTAGGTTCTCACGGACATGCATATAATGGGTTCATTTGGTGTCTTGCAATATGAATTTATCTTAATTGCTATTGATACAATAATATCATTTTTATTTTTGAACTTGTTTTAGATATTTCTGTCCTTTCTTGCTCTCTTCATGGGTCTAATTCAATCTAATTTGCTACTATCGTGCTGCAGTTATGGCAGTGTGGCTCTTTTCTACCACGGCCTGAACCAGACAGAGCTAGCACTACGACACATGTCCAGGGCACTGCTTTTGCTAAGCCTGTCCTCTGGCCCAGATCATCCTAATGTTGCTGCAACTTTCATAAATGTTGCAATGATGTATCAAGATATTCAAAAGATGAATACGGCTCTTTGTTATCTCCAAGAGGCCTTGAAAAAGAATGAAAGGCTGCTTTGCGAGGATCATATTCAAACAGCTGTATGCTATCATGCACTTGCAGTCGCGTTCAACTGTATGGGTGCCTTCAAACTTTCACATCAGGCATGTGTTTCTGGAAGAGTAATGCAATTTTTCTTATGGTATTTCTAAGATTGATTTAATTGACTTTTGTTTTTGGTGCACACAGCATGAAAAGAAGACATGACATTCTTGTAAAACAGCTTGGTGAGGAGGACTCGAGAACAAGAGACTCCCAGAACTGGATGAAGACATTTAAGATGCGTGAACTTCAGGCAAGTGAATGGTCTTGCAGTCAATGTGTGATATCAATCTATTCTAAGAAGCAGCACCTGTTGGATTAGGCACAGGCCTGGCTTCATTGATGCTAAGAAACAGAAAACGAAACACAAAATCGCTTCTTGAGATTTCGAGTGGAAGATGTGTCTTGATCGATTTCAGCAATGCTATTTTCATTCTTGGTAGTTATGAAATGGTTCTCGGTTGCGAGTCCGGAGAGTAGTGTTTCCAGCAAGAACTCAAAATTAAATATACTTTTTTTAGCATTTTTCTTACCCGATAACCTGGCGTGTATCGCAGAAATCAGCTTGTTGCTAAGCACCGGGCAGCATATTAAGCGAATATGATCTTAGCGTTGTCAGTGAGTTGGTTTCCTTTTTTGGACTTGTCATTTTGGGGTTACATAGGACAGACGCTTGGCATTGAAGTGTAATGAAATGAGCTTCCTTGTGGCTTCATTTGCTCATAAAAGCATTTTCCATTTTTGTATGTTCATACAATCACTTACTTTGTTTTGAAGGATACTTGATTTTCAACCAGTAAGGAAAAACAAAACTATTTGTGCATCATATTTGTTTATACTTACTATGATACAACATTTGTTTAATTAAAGCTAAGTTCACCCTGCTAAGGCAAGATTGTAGAGCGAGCATCATATCGCATTTAGCCATCGCATCGAGCAGGCAACCGCTTGAAGAAAATTGCAGGGAAGGGATGGCAGCTTGCTCTGGAATTTGGGATGGCGAAGACAATAAAGACCACCAACCAGAGCCACCACTCTAAATGGCGTAGCATACAACACACAAGCCGTACAAAGACCAAGAAGAATGAAAAGGATGGTGGCTCTGGGATCTCTACACTCCAACAGCGACTCGAATCTCTCCCCTTGTGTTGTTTTGTCGTCTACAACTATTTGAATCCTCCCTGCAACGGTTCAAAGCGGATCATACCTCGTTCTAACTACATCATGAATGCCTCAGCCCATGAATGCCTTGTATCCATGAGAGGTGTGTGCCTTGGGAGAAATCTATAGTTCTATGGTCCCACAAGGAACGCATAGAAACATATCGTCGGCAAAATCAACTCAGGGTACCATATCAGAATCAGAAACAGAACACGGACTAGAACCGATGTAAGGGGGTTCTTCCAGTTGCAAACATCACCGAACAACCGACTGACCGAGATCATGCCAGACACTAGTGACATGATGCAGAAGAAATTAGCTTTGCTTCTTCTCATGCTCCACATGTGGGAATCCGCATCTAACATATATTCAACCACCTCTTTTCTCAGAGGCGACTCTGCTCTACCGAGCCGCCTTGCCACAATATTCATGGCTTGGTATCTCAGATTGTCTGGTTGATTAACTATGAATGGATGCAGGTAATGCATCTTAGGCAGCAAAGGTTGCCCATAAATGTATATCGTGTTAGCAAGCGAGAGAGTAGTGAATCTAAATGCTAGTTGTATCTCCCCCATTTTCTTCAATCCATGTGGTTGCAATACCAGGAGTGGATACGAGTGTGTGTATATCCTGTGAGCTTCTAGAGTTGATGACCGAATCCATACCTTTCATATCAATGAATCACTTGTTGCATTGTCGTCACTGCTGCCGCCCTTGTGTCTGTTGTCGAAAACTCCCAGCGTGATCACCGTGCAAGGATCATACAAAGGTTCCCACGTTTTTTTTTTTGATGAAGTGTGTTAAAAACATTTTGATATTTCGATATAACAAATTAAGTTAAATGAATTTTAAGATTTTCAAAATGATTTTCTAAGTATATTCGATATAATTATTCGAATATCAAAACATTACTCAAAATATTTCAAAAATCATTTTTAATCCTTACTTAAGTGTAAAATTAAGTTTTAATCTTAAAACAATTTCAAAATAATCTTTCAAAGTATTTCGAACCATTTTAAAACCAAAAATTCCAGATTGCTCAGAGGGAACCGATTCCCCCCTGAAGGGTTTGGCTCCGAGATTTCCAGAATGCTCGGAGGGAACTGATTCCCCCATAGGGGGTACCGATTCCCCCCTGTTCAACGGTCGAAATATTTGAATTTTACACTTAGGGAACCGATTCCTCATAGGGGGTACCGATTCCCCCCACGCTCCAAACTGTTTTATTAATTGTTTTCACACTAAAACGGCTATATGATCTTCACTAATCATCCCCAACGTTCAGAAGAGATTCAAGGTGTATTTAAACAAGTTCTGAAGCCCTTGATCAACAACAAATCATAGAGAAACAAGAGAGAAAGCATTAAACACAAAGTTTGTGCAATTCAAGCCAATTTTCATTCAATATTCATTTTGCTTTCAAAGAACACTTATTGTGCTCATTTGTAATTTTCTTTGAGTGTTCTTTTCTTGTTCTAGAATTGTGCAAACATCTTACCTTGTGAGATTTTCTTGTAAGTTTGCAAATTTGTAATCTTCTCTTTGGGAAAAAGAGTGTTCTCAAGAGTTGGAGTATACTCTTGAGGGAATTGTAAGGTTATCTCTTTGGCCTCAAAAGAAAGAACAAATTAGTGAATTTGTTGAAAAATCCTTAGTGTGGATAGCTAAGGTAGTGGACGTAGACTTTGTTTGAGAAAGTCAAACCACTGTAAATCGCTGTGCAATTACTTTCAATTTTCTGCAAAAGCTTCCACAAAAATTTTAATTGCCAATTCACCCCTCTCTTGGTCGATTCCGTCAATCGATTAACTCAACAATTGGTATCAGAGCCTAACTCATTTGAAGGTTTAATCGCCTCTTGAGTCGATTCGGGAAGAGTTATATCGATTATTAAAGTCATCAACGGCCTCCGCTTCAAACTTCGACTCCGGTCTCGATTCGATGCCCGTCAACAAGCCTCCTTTCTTCAATGGAGCTAACTATGCCTATTGGAAGAATAGAATGATGTACTTCATTCAAGCAAGTGACATGGGAGCATGGAATGCTGTAGAAGAAGGATACATCAAACCTCTCACTCATCCAAGGTTGTGGAGTGAAGGAGAGACAAGAATGTTCCAGCTCAACTCCAAAGCCATCCATATTATTTTTTGTGCTATTGGACCAGATGAATACGGAAGAGTTTCATCGTGTACAACCGCCAAAGAAATATGGGACAAACTTCAAGTCACACATGAAGGTACAGATGAGGTAAAGAAATCAAAAATTAGTATTCTAACGCATAGCTATGAAAATTTCAGGATGAAACCAAATGAAGACATCAAAGCTATGACGGATAGATTTTCAACGATTGTCAATGGTCTCAAATCATATGGAGAGATCATCTCAAATGAAAAGCTTGTGAGGAAGTTAGTCTACTCCCTCCCAAAATCATGGCAATCAAAGAAGACGGCAATCATCGAGTCTAAGGACCTATCGTCCTTAACTCTTGAAGAACTTATCGGTTCACTCCTCACTCATAAGATGATGCTTGAAGATGAGGTGGACTTTGATAAAGTTGAAGAGACACCAAAGGAAAAGGAGAAGAAGAAAAATATTGGAGTTACTCTCAAATCCACAAAAGATGAGAGTGATTCTAATAATGATGATGATGACGAGGAAATGGAATTGTTTGCCAAACGGTTCAGAAAAATGATGAGACCTTACCAAGGAAGAAAATTCAAACGAAACGAAGGCCTCAAAAATGAACCAAAAGAGAAGGACCCAATCATTTGTTATGAATGCAAAAAGCCGGGGCATGTCAAATATGATTGCCCACAATTGAAGAAAAAGGGTCAATCAAAGAATAAGCACAAGGCTCATGTGGCTACATGGAGCGATGAAGAAAGTTCCGATGAAGAGGAACAAGAAGTAGCAAACTTGTGCTTGATGGCATTCGGGGAAGATTCTAAGGGAAAGGAGCATTGCTACAAGGCACGGGAAACAAATTCAAATTCATGGTACCTTGATAGTGGATGCTCAAGACATATGACCGGAGACAAAAGCCGGTTCATTGAGCTTAACGCCAAAAATGGAGGAGAAGTGATT